AGTAATCAGAGGAGTCCAATTTCCATGGAAAGGCATTTGTTGAGGATGCTTTAATATGAATTCCTGCACTGACCAGGTGATGGAACTCAGCAGTCTACATGATCACTTCTGTGTCTGTGGTGCTCTGGTGAGCAGGACAGGCTGGAAATTGCCCTTCCACAATTTTTCCTGATGCCACCCAAATATTTTGGATTTCAATTCTAGTCAGATCTAGCCAGCACAATTCAACCACAGGGAATTGTGGGATTTATAGGCTAAAATACATGGAGATAAATGGAAATGCATAAAATTCTGTTCTATGATGCAGTTTTTCTATTAAAATTAGACTAAACCAGTGGTTCTCAACCTGTGGGTCAGGACCCCATTTGGGGTCCAACGACCATTTCACGGGGGTCGCCAAACAACGCAGTCCGCCATTTTTTCCCCCTTTTCCTTAGCTGTGCTACTCCCTTTTATTCTATTGGCTTTTGAAAGCCAATAGAAGAGACTCTCTTGAATAGAGTCTAATTCTATTGGCTTTCAAAAGCCAATAGGAATTGTCCAGGCTGTCTCTGCCCTGCTGAGCCCGCCAAAAGTCCCATTCTGCAAACGGTGCTGCACCAGTTGAGTAGTCCTCGACTTACGACCGGTTGAGTAGTCCTCGACTGATGACCGGTTGGGGGTCACAGCATTAAAAAGGTTGAGAACCACTGGACTAAACAATACTAAAAAGTGCTATTTATTACTCTTCCCTTTTCTGTAAAAACAAAAGAAAAGGATAAGAAGTGGGATTAAAAATTAAAAAGCAAACCTTTGGGAGACAGTATTGGGGTTGTTGAGTACAGAAAAAGAAAAATGAAATAAGGCACTGGTCATTCAGGATGCAAAAGAAGATATTTAATCTGTGTAACTGATTTTTGCTTAGGTGCTGCCAAAGAGCAGAATGTCAAACATTTTGGAACACTACTCACTTGTCTAATAGTTGTGGGAAGGGAAGAAGAAGAATAGTTCTGTGTTGAGCAAAACTAAAGTTTTTACTTGCAACCCTTTGATTTTCAGATTCATTGAGAAAGGTGAAAGAAGAAAATAGATGAGTGATGATTATTTTTTTGAGAGCATAAGGTAGTGTACAATGATGAAATTGATACACTTACACAACAAACTAAACTAGGCAGGTTGGTTAGTGTTAATCATGGTTTTTCTCATAGCTTAGTATGTATGAATTCAGTCTATCTGCATGGTTTATGATTTCTTGTATTTTATGAATCCAGAAAAATGGTTAATTTAGTAACCAGCTTCAAGTACTTTGTGTGAATGCAGCAAGAGATATGTATGGAATATGGATCTTGTGGAAAGTATGTTTCCTTTTGAAATAAGTTTTGATTAAACCTCACGTGAAAGAGCATTCCTCTGGCAAGGCGCTACCACAAAGAAGGTTTGATGACACAGAGAACAAGGATTCAGGAATTCCCAAGTTTTTCACCCTGTAGGGTAGGCCATTTCTGATTTTTCTTTCAGTAAAGGCTACAAACCTGGAAGTCACCAGAAGTTGGGGATAACTGAATTTCTCCTACTTTTGGAGTCAGTGTGAAATATTGAAGATCGACTATAGCATGCTGACAAAATGGCTTTCATGATAGCCACAACAAACCACCATGTGCCATTTACCAGAAAACAATTAGAGTGAGGATGTTCTCTACCATCTCAGCTGACTTTTGTCTTTTCTCTATGCAGACGAGCAATTTTCCAAACAGATACACAGAGACTGCAACTCTCAGAGTTCATTGCCAAGAAATAGACTGCTAGGGAATTCTGGGAATTCCTTTCCAGCTTGTCAGGTGGGCATCATGTAGGGAAAGGCTAATGTACAACAAACAGGCAGTATAGTAGGGGAACTTCAATTATTTATTTATTTTGTACAATTCACTGCATGGCCATGAGTTGGGTAAAGGGAGGGAGGGTCACAAATGAAAAAAAAAAGTATAGGTACGGTGGTCATCAACTTATGACTACAATTGAGCCCCAAATTTATGTTGCTAAGTGAGATAATTGTTCAGTGAGATGATTGCCCCATTCTATGACCTTTCTTGCCACATTTGTTAAGTGAATCACTGTAGTTGTTAAGTTAGTAACACAGTTGTTAAGTGAATCCAGCTTCCCCATTGATTTTGTCAGAAGGTCACAAAAGGGGATCAAATGACACTGCAACCATCACGAATATAAGTCAGTTGCCAAGCATCCAAATTTTGATCATGTGACTGAGGACGCTGCAATGGTCATAAATGTGAAAAATGATTATAAGTCACTTTTTTCATTGCCACTGTAACTCCAAACAGTCACTAAGCAAACTGTTGTAAATCGAGGCTACCTTTATGTTGTGTCTGAATGCTGAGGAATTAAGAATGCTAAATTTATGCTGGAATGATGGGGAGAATGCTGTCTGGGGAATTCTGGGAATTCTGGGAGTTGAAGTCCACGCATCTTCAAGCTGCCAAGACTGAGAGGCACTGTTCTAGAGGCTTCCTCAAATAACACACCGCGTGGCTTAATTATATTGGAATGATTAGTACATTACATTAGTAAATTACATTAGACAGACACAGCAACGACATAACAGTTTAATTAACTTCATCTTGACTTGTATTTATTGAAGAAATATCAACCAGTGCTAAATATAAAGGAGGAAGAGCAAGGGAAAAATTTCTTCCCCTGGTGTGATTTGTACCTGGTTTTTGTTTTTCAAAGGTACGGAATTTTTCTAAGGGAAAAATGGGGAGAGACTGACTCCAATCTTTTTTTTTTCTAAGGTAAACACCCCAACTATTGCTCAGGCTGAATGCAATAGACTAGAGCATGTTTCCTTTCTTGAACATATTTGCTTATTTATCAAATTATATGTCATTTCTATGACAAAATGACTTTACAGGTAGTCCTTGACTTACGATGGGTCACTTAGTGATTGTTCATAGTTACAACAGACCTCCCTGGGGGTAATTATGACCCAGATTTGAAGTTCTGATGGTCACCTTCCCTTGTAGTCATGTGACTGCTGGGCCACATTTATAGCCGTTTACAATGTCCTGCCATCATGTGACCAAGTTTTATGATAATTTTGCTGAAAACTGGCATTTCTGTTTTTTTTGGCAAAACTGCTGCATAGTGAACCATGGGTCTGCTTAATGGCAAAGGCATTTGCTTAATGACTGCCACAAAAAAAATCATAAATTCAGGTCATCATATGGGTGACCTGATTTACAACCATCACGAGTTATGACCATGATGGACAGGCTCCATTATGGTCATAACTTGGAAACTAAGTGTAATTGGCTTACACAACTGGATTAAAACATCAAGTAAAATAGCAAATCAGAATCAATACAATGTTCATATATTATGAAGGAAACAGGAATAGTCAATATTTTAGTAGCAACCAAAGGCTGCCCGTAACTTTGTGGGGGAGTGAAGGCTACAAAAGGCAAAATGTTTGAATCTTGCAGATGGGCATTGCGATCTTAAGGGGGTTATTTCTTAACTATGTTACAGCTATTTTAGGGCATACACTACAGTTTCCTTCTGTGTCCGAATTCAAACTCGCCAGGAAATCTGCTGCCACTTTTCATTAATTATCATCAAGTTTCTGACATTACAAAAGCAGAAATCAAGGGCTGTTTTGGACAGAGGCTCCAGTTGCCCACTCTTGTGCTAAACCACATGATCTATCTGTACAGTATATGAATTAACATGTTGTGTGAATGCAGCCACAAGGATCTGTCAGGCATGGATAAGGATTGATATGTTGTGCAAATCTAATCAAATGGAATTTTATTCCATAAACCATGGTTAGGTATCCATAGTGTCATGCAATAGAAAAACCATATAGACATCTGAAATGACTAAGGACTTTTGAGTTTATCGGGAAGGAGGAATACAGAATCATGTTCTGTTTATTTCTTTTAACACCTGATATGCTGCTATTTGTGGGCAGCTTGAAAATATTCATGTAGGATAAACATCAAGTCTATGGCATCGTGTGGTGTGAATTTTCATCTTAAAAGTTTAACGAAGGAGTGTGGTAGTTCACGAGTTTAGAACACTGGGTGGGCAATCGGCAGGCTCACATTTGAGACCCATTTCTGTTGGAGGGTGGGGTGAGCTCCTGTCACATGCTCCAGCTCAACCTAGAGGTTCAAAAGCAGTGACCATGAGTAGATAAATGGGTACCATTTCAGTGGGCAACTTCACGGAGACATGAAAGGACCCCCCAACTGGGTATCCCCCAGGCTATACTGTTATCATCAGCAAATCCTTTCATCACAGAAGCTGCTTCTGACACTGAAGTATTAGTATTAAAGGGTTTAACAAACTCAAGGAGAAAAAGATATCCATTATTAGTTAATAGTTCCAAAGAAATTTGAAACCTCCGTAACTAGGGATAATCTAGCACAGTGGTGGCGAACCTATGGCACGGGTGCCAGAGGTGGCACTCGGTGCCCTCTCTGTGGGCACACACATTGTTGCTTCAGTCCCGCCTCTTCCCATGGTCCCCTCCTCACCAGCAGCCCCCCGGAGGAGAGTTGCCCCTGGGCGCAGCCCATATGAAGCAGCGCAGCCAAGGACATGGTAGCCGGGCAGTGGGGACAAGACTCCGCCCTTGCACCCCATCGCATGCAGATGATGCTGCGGGGCATGGGCAGAGGGCATGGCCACCATGGTGCTGCTGGGCTGCCTGGGTGATCTGCGGCAGGCCGTGGAGATGGTGGGTGGTCCAGTGGGCAGGGCGGAGCGGGGATGGGGTGGATGGGCGGTTTGGGGGCACTCGATCTCTAAAAGGTTCGCCATCACTGATCTCCCACTAGAGTGCAATTGCTGGGGGAAATGATAGGGAAGAAATGCTGCCTTCGTATTTTGTGTGTAGGTATCTGATTGGCTGTAATGAAACTGGGCTGAAGGGACCCTTGCTCTGCTCTAGAAGGACTTCTCTTAGTTTCTCTAGGTTGACGAGATTTCTTTTGCTCTTCCAGTGACAGGCCGAGTCAGTGAGGAAATGGTTGCTGACTGTGGCTGAATCCACAGCTGCAAGAATATGCAGCCCAGGGGCCTTCCTGGCAGTGCAAAGGCAGCGGACTGCGCCAAGGAGCTGATCACCACGTTGTGCACGGGGGTTGTGGCCGGGAGGCATGGTGACAACTTTCAAGATTGCCGTGCTGGGTGCTCAAGGGGTCGGGAAGAGTGCCATTGTCCACCAGTTCCTGTACAACGAGTTCAGCGAGGTCTGTGTCCCCACCAAGGCCCGCCGTGTCTACCTACCTGCCGTGGTCATGAATGGCCATGTTCACGACCTACAGATCATGGACTTCCCACCCATCGGCTCTTTCCCTGTAAATACCCTGCAGGTAGGTGTACATCCCACCTGTCAGACTTCAAAAAGAATACTCTCACTGCCAGCTATAGGTTGCTTTGAATGATGTGTCAGTGTCAGCATCCGAGGTCTTCCAGGTGGCTGCTCCTGTAAGTGGAGAGTCCAGAAGAAGACTATGCCCAGTCTTCCAGAAGTAGATTGAAATATCTGTGGCGATACCCTACATTTCCATGGAGAAAATATTAGAGTGAGTAGTTCATGGGGTATATATGCTGCTGGGGGAGGAAAATTCTCCATCCACTCTTACACCCCCTCTTAGAACATACCCTTGGCTATGTATGCTAAGAAAATAAATAGGGCCTGTTTAAGCAGATTGAGTTCTAAAACAGTTCAGTCAATTTGGAATCCTTGGTTTCAAGAGAACATATCTTCTCTTTGTCCAGTGGCGACATTCATGTGAGGAACATATTAGATTTCTATATTTGCATTAATTCTTTGGGTTTCTTTGGGTTTTTTTAATTGGAAAATTAAGGCGGATAAACTCAAGCTGAAGTGGATAATCGGTTAGTTTTTTACAACTGATTGAGTGCGGTTGCTTTAACCCTGCATATGATCTATGCTGTGCCTGTTCTGGGTTAATTCTAACATCTAAATCTAACAACTGGATCATAGACTCTTTTATAATTTTTCACAATGCACTAATCCCTCTAATGGTTCAGTTTAGTATTTTGTGAAGACCAGGCCACAGAGTAAGACCCATTGGTGCAAATAATTCTATTGCTTCTTTTCACAAGAAGAAAATTTCTATTGCAGGAAAAACTGCAGCAAAAAACTCCCCAATTCTTTTCACTGTAAAAACTGGGGAATAACTAAGGATGTTCTAAACAGTAAACAGATATTTGACCACTCAGCTGTCCTCTGTCCTAGTGCTCTCCAGATGTTATCATACCTGCAATTTCAATAGCAATCTTGGTTGATCCAATATTTAAACTATCCAAGTTTAGCAAATTGTGTGAATGCTGTGGTTAAGTGTGTTATTTGAACATAGCCATTAAGTAAATCCTTATAAAAATGTACTCATGTATGAGAGGATCTGTCTAGGTTTCTTGCTAAAAATTGACATCAGCTTGATAGCACATAATCCATCAGTTGATAGCTGTATAATAAAGGCCATTATGGTCATTCTCTACAATCCAGAAGAGGTAGGAAAGGGTGGAGAGAAGCAGTAAGTTCACAATTAAGCCTGGATTTCAGTGAGGCTCATCCAGATCCAAAACCAATATTCTTAGCTACCGTTGTCCAGCATAGCCCATTTATCTGGGATTGGTAACAGAGTGTCCAGTTCTAGCTGGCATATTTTGCTTTACATCAAAGATAGAGCATCTGTGGCTCTCCACATGATCCTGGTTTATATTCACAGCATTTACCACTGATAAACCTGGCTATAGGTGCTAGGAACTGTACCTGAGTAACATTCTTTCAATCAGCCATACTTTGTGAGGACTTTGGTGCTCTTGGTAGTTTTCTTGCAGATGTTTCATTACCACACTAGGAAACATCATCAGTTAGCCTAATTACCTTGCACTGATACCTAGTAACCTTGCACTAATCATGTTGCCTAGTTGGGTAATGAAATGTCTGTAAGAAAACCACCAAGCGCATGGAGCACCAAGAACTACACAGTTCAACCCTGAGCTATAAATTTTTATAAATCTTCTATTTTGTATGTCTACTTGGTCTTCTATAGATTATAGACAAATCTGATGGACTTTTAATGGATTTGATAGAAAATATTAGGTTAATCATCTCTCAAGAAAAACTGGCAGGTGGAATAGGATGAGCAGCAGCAAGATGGATGGACTAAGTCACAGTGTCTTTGAATGCACAGTTGGAAAATCTGTGAGACCGGGTTAGGGGCAGATTGTCATGGAGAAAATCTGTGTGGAGTTGCTTGGAGTTAAAAGTGATTTGATGGCACATAATCACATAATTTAACCAATAAAATCAACATTGATAAGTTTCATTAAATCCTTTGAGGATATAAACCGATCCCTGTAGTAATCTATTTTAGCATCTTTATGAGTTATAGTTGAGTCTTGTTAGCAAAATCCTATGTATGCTTATTCAATAGTTTCAGTGATTCTAGTTCTTTGAAAAAGTGCATGCAACCCTGTATATTATACTAAGGCTCTTTTCGTACATTTTTAGTATCATTTATAGTGTTGTGTGCAACAGGCTTAACTAAGTCCAGCAGCAACTTCATTATTATAAAACACTAAGTTTGATTAACCTAACTTTATTGTTTTATTGTGGCTTTGCATGATGAGGGAACTGGATATTTCATTGTATTGTGCACATTAAACAAACTGACCATGTTACATGAAGCCAAGCTCATGAAGCCACAAGGAACAATATAGATTTCCCATTGCATTTTAACATTTATTCTACCTGCTCAGAGAGGTGGAATGCTCTTGAAGGGTCCACAGTGCAATGGCCAGTGTTTTAAGTTTTAGTCTCATGGTCTAGCAGTTGCCTGCCTTTATAATTTTAAGAAGATGCACCTGTTCTCTAGCACTGCCATCACCCTTCATTAAATGTTGTCCCAATTTTTTTTATGAGAACCTTGTCCCTTTGTGCCTGCCATTTATCAAACTACAATAATTAGAAGTGCAACAGATGGAGATATCTCAACATGGCTATACAAAACAAATTTATAGTTCTTACCAGGGCTTTTTTTATTATAGAACACCCAGAACGGAGTTCCGGCACCTTTTTTGGATGGAACCTTGTAGGGTAGGCAAGGCGGGTTGTATGACGTGTGTGAGTTCTGGCACTTTTTTTTTTTAACAAAAAAAGCATTGGTTCTTACTATATATATAAACACATTTTCAGAGGGAAGCTTGTAGGCATGTTTCAAAAATCTCAGACCCTAGTGCTATGAAATGCAAAGAGGAAGAATAACTGGATTTTTTTTTTTAGTCGAGAAGGTTTTTATATACAGTAGCTCCTTGCATCTCTGACTAGCCCAAATATTTGCCAAATTGCATAAAATTGTTAATTGGTTGATTCAGTTTAAAATGTACATTTTAGAAGCTCCCTTCTACACCCCTGGGTTTTTAATTGTCATTGTTCTCTGTCTCGAAATCTTTGTCATCTTATATTAGTGCTATCAGTAATCATGAGGTCTATCACTTAACAGATACTTAATGGAACTTAATTAAATTAAATCTAAATTAACTTACACAAAAAATAAACTTGAATAAATGTGTCCTTTCTTTCAAGATTATACCTGCACTCCAAATTACATCCATCATCTGCTGCTTTATAAATACAGATGGTCCTTGACTTATGAAGTTACAGCAGATTTCATAAGTCCATAAAAGGGACTTTCAACCTGGATTCGAAGTTCCAAAATCTGCAGCCCTTCCCAGTCATGTGGCATTTTGGGAACTTGGTATTTGTCCTGCACTGATGGTCATTTGTGGTGTCCCACAGTCACACAACCAAAATTTATGACGTTGTTGCCAGAAAATGCTTTTTACTTCCATGGTATGACAAAAAAAATACACACACACCCTGCCCCATGATTGCACATGGGTCCTGAACACAGGCTTGCTAACTTCCAACCCAGCATCCTAACCATGTGAGCCGTCATAATAATAATAAAGTTGGAAGGGATCTTGGAGGTCATCTAGTCCAACCCCCTGCTCAGGCAGGATACTCTATACCATTTCGGACAAATGGCTGTCCAGTGTCTTCTTAAAAACTTCCAGTGTTGGAGCATTCACCGCTTCTGGAGGCAGGTTGTTCCACTGGTTAATTGTTCTAAATATCAGGAAGTTTCTCCTTAGTTCTAAGTTGCTTCTCTCTTTGGTTAGTTTCCATCCGTTGCTTCTTGTCCTGCCTTCAGGTGCCTTGGAAAATAGCTTGACATCCTCTTCTTTGTGGCAGCCCCTGAGATATTGGAACACTGCTATCATGTCCCCCCTCGTCCTTCTTTTCATTAAACTAGACATACCCAATTCCAGCAACCGTTCCTTATATGTTTTAGCCTCCAGTCCCCTGATCATCTTTGTTGCTCTTTTCTGTACTTTTTCTAGAGTCTCAACATCTTTTTTACATCGTGGTGACCAAAACTAGATGCAGTATTCCAAGTGTGGCCTTACCAAGGCATTGTAAAGTGGTATTAATACTTCAAGTGATCCTGATTCTATCCCTCTTTTAATGCAGCCCAGCACTGTGTTGGCTCTTTTGGCAGCTGCAGCACACTGCTGGCTCATATTTAAGTGATTGTCCATTAGGACTCTGAGATCCCTCTCACAGTTACTACTATTGAGCAAGGTATCACCTATACTATACTTGTATATGTAGAACCTTACTTTTTTCACCATTGAATTTTATTTTGTTAGATAGCACCCAGTGTTCAAGTCTGTCAAGATCCTCCTATATCTTAAGCCTGTCTTCTGGAATGTTGGCTATTCCTGCCAACTTGGTGTCATCTGCAAATCTGATGAGTTCCCCATCTCTCCCCTCATTCAAATCATTGATGAAGATGTTGAAGAACACTGGGCCTAGAACAGAGCCCTGGGGCACCCCACTACACACTTCCCTCGATGTAGATGCAGTTCCATTGAGGACCACACGCTGAGTACGGTAGTCAGCCAGCTATGAATCCATCTGATGGTCATGCTGTCTAACTCAAATTTTTCTATCTTATCAAGTAATAGGTTGTAATCTACTTTATCAAATGCCTTACTGAAGTCAAAGTAAAGTAAAGTCCAACACTGGAGGTTTTTAAGAAGAGACTGGACAGCCATTTGTCCGAAATGGTATAGGGTTTCCTGCCTGAGCAGGGGGTTGGACTAGATGACCTCCAAGGTCCATTCCAACTTTATTATTATTATTATTATTATTATTATTATTATTATTATTATTATTATTATTATTAATCATTGCATAGTCAGCCAGATGTTCAGACTGGATTTGACATTTTGTCTACCTATCATGTCCTTACCCAGGACCTGGGATAGGCAG